AAACCTAAGCGAAATTTTGTAAATGATTAATGAATTTAGCCATATATTTAAATTCTTCATACAAAACCTTTCCAATATGCATTTTCTGATTATAAATTATTAAATTACATAAAATGAATAATATACCTTGTGCTTTTGTCTCGGCAGATACTCTACCATCTTTAATATCCAATAATACCCAACCAAATGCAGCATCGGGCAGATTAAAGTTCCACATATTTTTAAAGGAAGGCTCTTCCCTTTCTCTATTAACCGATGGAACTTTATCTACAACAGTGAGTGCGTTTTGCAATAGAACTCTCTGAGAATCACTATAAATTGATCGATGAGAATTCATTCAAATAAAATAAAAATTTGATGAATGATTACACGAGACGATCTTTTTTTTTTTGTGCACTTACTCAATATATCTTCAACTTGACTTTTAACAGACTCCCACATTTCATAGAAGCATTTTTTGAAGGTTTCTAATTTATTATACAGAAAACTCGTTGTATGAAATGCCGTAATGGAAATGAAGTCCAGCGGAAATAGTGAAGTCAGCCTATAACAGATAAGGCATCAAAATTAATTCAAAACACAAAATTTATCAATTAAACTTTAATTTCCAAAGCTTACACGTAAAACAACAGATAATTGCGCTAAAAGTCCCTCACGACCAGGACTAGCGTGTGTGACAAGTACTCTCGTCTCAGTTGGATCGAACACCTATTTCACAATTAAATTTTTATTATTATTATTATTATTTTAAAGTTAATATAGAATAAATAAGGTTCATAAATAACTGGAGCATACTTACTTTTTGAGCAGTATCAACCAATTCACCTATCTGTAAAATAGTTGTCCACATAGTTCCATGACCCCCGGCAATGGTTGCAATACCTTTTTTACAAAAAGCATATTAAAATGAGACATCCAAGATATAATTAAAAAGAAATTTTTTGACGAGCTTAGACTAACCGTCGCCATTATCAAAGAGTTTATGTTGAACCACGGCACCACCTAATCCAAACAATCTTAAACTTACGCCACCCACGTCGATTACATAAGTGTTGGCTTCATCTAAAATAAATAAATTATGCACTTTGTAATGTCCCATCCTAAATTTTTCTAAAACAGTAACATCTTCACATGCACCCCATACTGTATATACAGGAACATCGAGTGTTTTATCTCCTTTCATGAAAAGTGGAAATTCAGATAATAGAGGAGTAGGTGATTCAAGAATTGTGCGACGTAGTTCCTCTGGAGATGTAGAATTATGAAGAAGTTTGTTTCTTGATTGTGTAGGTATGATAGTACTATAAGTAACAAGGTGACGTAAAGTCCTAAAGAAGAAATAAAAAATTACATCAAAACATAAACATAAACATTATAGTTTCTATGCAGGAAAATCGAACAAATAAAAGAGTTAAGCTTTTGATTACCTATCGCTAATTCGATCCAGACTATTATTTTCTGTGAAATAAAATAAAAAATTTATTTATTAGAAAATGTAATCATCGAATACATCAAAATTAAGTAATCGAAAAGTTATGCGAAATCGGATATTAAAAGGACAAACCATAAAATCCGAAATCGCCCGAATGAATAACAGCAATAGCACCGGTTTGTTTTGCGAGTTGATTCAATTGAGAAATGTTGCCTGTTTAGTTTTTAAAAAAAAATCTGTTAATATATTTTTAATATTTAATTGTTGATAATCAGCGAATAGATTAAAAAAAAAATGACTCACCTCTTACATCTGCAACACAAATGATTTTACCAGCGTCTGTACTGATTACATTAGCGCTACCTACCGGAAGGTTAGATGTATTAACCGATATACCTATACTATTTGAAATGGTTCGATGTACGTTGACATGGTTTGTTGAGGGCTGCTCTGATACAGATGTACCGTAACCTGACGAAATCCCTATAGAAAGCAAACAATTATCGCGACAATGAATAACTACAAACAGGATAATCCTATGCGCATCATTAACAAATTGATACGATACTTACCGTTTTGACCATTTGCCTGGTATGTATTTCCTTGAGCGGCATAAGAAGGGTTACCGTGCATGACCCAGTTATTTACTGAGGTTGAGCTAACTGTTTGCTCATAATTTTGCATTTCTTGAGCTGGCATGCTAGAGGCTTCCCAGTTTTGGCCTACTTGATTATTATAATTATTATGCTGTTGCCTCGTAAATCGCTGTGGCTCTGTTAGAGCGTAATCTGTCATTATGAGAAAAACGTATGATCTTAAGCTCTTTTAATAAATACGAGTCCAATAAATATTTGTGATATGTTACTAACAATTTGTTGAGAAACGATAGCAAATCTTGGAATATTGGAAAGAGAATAATACACAAGATGAACACAATCGTAGGACCGTTAGTAAAATGTCGCGAAAGTGCTACGAAGAAAATCCGAAAAGTTGCACAGTTTGTAGAGAAAAATATAAACCTTGTGATGTCACACAATTCATATAATCACTCACACTCTCGTATCACGTTTAACTTTAATATTGTTTCACAGCCACAAATGAAAATTTTTTAAAGCCACTATGGCAAAGCCACAGAAAAAAAAAAACAAGAATGTTACAAATCAGGAATTTTTGTTGATGAGCTAACGCATCAATTTTATTTTTTTCAAATTTTGTTATAAATTCTTAAGAATATACGACCTCAATGATGCATTGAAGTCGATAGATTCGCGTAATATCGTTCTTACAGTATAGCTAAACCAATCAACTAGTTGCATACAGTCATACATTAGAATCTAGCGAGTACTTTTGAAAAATACCGGACTTTTTACTCTCAACCAGTTTTCAAGTGGCATAAAATCAGAGAAAATTTACCGAGACGGTTCATCACAAACCGACTATCATACTTGAGTGTTCTGGTAGGTTCGACTGATTTGATATTGTAAAGAAACATATATTCACCACGTTTTTACTCAGGCTAAAAAAGCACAACGATGGAGGTTTCTTAGAACGCAAATTAATTTTAAACCTTCGTTTTGCTGCGAAGTTTCTAGAGCAAAATCATTCATAGCTTTGTCCCATACGTTGTAAGGTGTTAAAGTTCACGGCGTATTAGGCATCGAGCCCGTAAATTTATGTTCAGCTTTATATGACCACGAAAAGGCAACGGTTGCAAGTCCATTGTACCGTTTCATCCACCGGCGTTTCTCTTGTCTTCTTGCCTGCTGAAAGTTTCTCTACTTAAATTTGAAAATTCTTGACTCTCTCGATTCTGCGTTTATCTTTTTTGATTTAACACAGCGACGTGTTTCGTTCCAAAATTTCGCTTCCTGTTGATTTCGTAATTCGGATAGCATTACTCGATTGAAGCACTACAGAACCGTAACAAAATTTCAATAAATCGCTTCACAGTAATAATTGTATTTTGAGGTTTATGCCATTTTATTGATTTGTTTAAGAATGAATTTTCTGTTGTAAATGTGGTTATATAATGTTTATATTTTATTGATAGACGTTAATATAATTTGTAAATACATACCATGACTTCTTAACAATGAACATGTCCTAAATCCTAATTGGGTGTGTTGAATCGGTTGACTGTGCGGTCACTTATGCATATAACCACATACATCCCTTGGCGCCTTCCTCTCCTTTTGTTAAATAATTTTATTTTCCAGTTCTGACCATGGGCAAATTAAGTGATTTTTCCAACTCTTTTTGAGCTTGTGATGAATTCTTCTACATCACCAAAAAAAAAAAAAATTTATGTAAACAAAATGGGACCATTTGTCCATTGTTTTGATTTTCCTTATCGAGCTAAGGAGAACAATAGAATCCAAAAACTTAATTTTTTTACAACATCTAAAATGGATAGATCACAATGAACAATTGTTGGAAATAAACAACTAATTTCAACAAAAATCGAGTCGTCGTATTTTCGCCTAAAAAATTCAAAATTTTTCCATTTACGCCATTATATTATGTTTCAAAGGTCGAGAATGTATTAAGGAAAAATTTTCCATTATACAAATAAATGAATATCTACTTTAATCATCATTTTCGTTCGTAAAGCGACCAAAAGCGAACAATTTCTTGGATTGTAATTAAAAAATTTTTTTTTTCAACTATATTACAATCGTTCTCTTCTGAATTTAATTATGTAATCCTTCTGGATGGGCACATTGCAGGAAAATTACAAGATTAAACAACAATCACACCTGCAGTTTCTCAGCCAATCCAATTTTTGAACGAAAATAATTAATGAACATGTCTCACAAGATAAGTTGAAAACTCCCCACCCATAAAAGACTGCCCCCCCATAATTTTTTTTTTACTTTTTTGATATTATTAGCGAAACTCTTAAGTCAACATACAATTAAAGTGTGTATTACCCTTTGAGCGAACTTTATCTTTGCATTCGTTTGTCTTTAAGTAAAAAAAAAAATTAAATAAATAAAATAAACAAAATATTTTGAACTCGTGTCACCGATATTCTTGTATCTTTTTTTTTAAAAAAAAAAAAAAAAAAAGAGGAGGGAGAGAGAAACAAGCGTTTATATTTATTGAAAAATAATAATAAAAATAATAAATAAATAATAATAAATAATAATAATAATAAAATAATAATAATAATAATAATAAAATAAAATAACGGGTGGGTTTACCATATGATTTCAAACTTTATCAAAGAAGACAATATAGCCGATAACGAATTTACACAGCTGCTTGAAGACTATACCTCCGCCAGTTTAGCCTCCAACCTGGATAATAATAGTTCTAATCACGCTGCAACCTCAACGGCAGCCCAGCAACACCGAACTTCACCTTTTACCATGTCCCCTCTCCTCACCTTAACTCAAAAGGAGAGTGGGAATACGAGAGATTACATTAACGATATTGTTTCCTCGTCCGTATACCCTCCACCCACTCAAGATCATCAAAGAGTATTACGTCAAATGATGAGTCTCTGTAAACATATTTATTCAAGAGGTTTGATCGAAGGAAGTGGAAGTGACGTGACAATTAAAGCATTTGGTAAAGATTATCATTTACATAGGATCATACTTTATCAAAATTCCTATTTTTCCGTTTTATTGGAAGGTCCATGGAAAGAAAGTGTTCAAAAAGATATAGAACTTCGATTTGATGATGAAAACATCACGCGTGATGCATTTGAAATTGCATTAGGACGTTTGTATGGTAGATTAGATGAGATTATCTCGCCTTTACAAGTATTGAATCTTCTTGCTACTGCATCTTTTCTTGACCTTCAAGATTTATGTGAAATGTGCGTTGAGGTAATATTAAGAGATATTAAGGAAGATACTGTTGAACATTATTTAACTTTTGCGACTTCACATTTTTACGGGTCACATTCTGAAAAAATTACGGAATCATGTTTCACTTATCTATGCAGGGAAGGATTTGATAATTTAAGACTCAGGCCTGCATTTTTGAAATTACCTGCTGAATGGCTTAAAAGGGTGATTGAAAGTGATGCTTTCTGGGTACCTAGTGAATATGAAAGATATATTTTTGCAAGAGACGTGGTTAGTCAAAGAAGGAAAATTACCGCAGAACAAAAGAGACATACTTTGGTATCATCCTCACTAATTAATGATACAGATTTATCTTTGAACGTATCCCTTCCTACTTCTCCTACATCGTCAACAATTCCAAATTCTTCTCATAAAGCAAAAAGGTTACAAGATTCAACATTTTCTTATCATACAAGAAGATCTTCTTCAATTAGTACCTTTAATTCTATATGTTCTTCAAATTCTTATCAAACTGAAAGTGATGAATCAATTTATAAGGCCATATTCACTTATGCAATATATTATGCTCACATGGCCTTTGAAGAATTAACTTCAATTTTGTATGATTGTGATGATACAACGGGTGCTCCATTTGCACCCGATCATGTCTTAAAGGAAGCTTTATGGCAACAAATAGATTTACGTAATAAGATTGAAAATACTGCAGAAAATGATATAACATTGGGTATATCTTCTTCTGAGGTACCCTCTAGTTCAACTGGCGTTCATTTTGAGATTCCATCAGATGATACTACGCACATAGGGGAGGCATTGACCGGTTTGGAGGACATGATTGGGGGTGGAACGAAAGCAATGAAAGACGGTGAAGGTAGAGGAAGTGTGGAGTATTCATTATTTGCCCCTTTCAGATTCAGTGTCGAATTTGCGGATGTCGCGAAATTAAAAGAGAAGCAAAGAGTTTATTCCGGCACGAAATTCTATGCTGGGTAAGTGAAAATATTTCCTCGTTAATAATAATTAAACTCGTGACATTTGACCGGGAATTTGTTACCAAGTTAAAGAACTTTTTTTTTTTATTTGATCTTTATAGGTCTAATTGGAACATGTATATTCAGAAAATAAAAACCCCACGTAAAGGTATACAACTCGGGGTATATTTACATCGTCATTCAATGCCTGATCCAAATTCACCCGGAAATACTTCAAATTCCTCAACAATGGTGAATGGATCATCCGCAAATAAAATTCCTCCTCGGTCGTCCTCACCAGGAACCGAAGAAAGATATGCTCCTGCTGCTCGTCCAACTATTCATATGAAAAGTAACAACGAGAAAAGTTTCTCAAAATATGCTGATAAGAGAAAGACAGTTAGGACTTGGTTTAAAATTTTCTGTCCAGCTAGGGGTCCTAGTCATGTTTTAACACAATTTCAAAGTAGTCCTGATAATTTTGCATTAATGCAAAGTTGGGTATGTATGTTATTTTTATTCAACCATTATGAATTATTTCATTTAATTATATTCTCGTATTTTACTTTTAAAGGGATGGCGAAGTTCAAGTCTATGTCAAGATGATTATCTGTTGGATGTTCGTGACTATGATAATTCATCGTCATCAATATCTACTAATTCCTCAACATTAAAATTTTCTGTTGTGATGGGACATGTATAAAATAATAATTATCACCAATCTTGTTACCACAAATAAAAAATATCTTTCATTTCTTTGACATATATTTATTTCCCTAAAATTTTCATAAGATATAGATGACATACATATATATATATAATATACATCATATATATAAATAAATATATATAAGTATATATTTATTTTAATTGTATTATAGAATTTTTTTTTTTCATTCTTTTTGTTAAATAACTTCTTTCTTTATATATATTTATATATCGATTTATAATGAAAAATTACCGATGCTACATATCCAAGTTAATGAATCGACGTGAAATTTTATATTTTCTTATGCTAATCTAGCACAAAACAAATTAACAAAATTTATTTATTTATTTTTTTTTTTTAGATAACTCGTCTTATAAATCATTATATATAGTGAAATTACATTTATTACAATTTACCCAAAAAGTGAATAATATTACATTGAAAGGCTTTAGATGACTTAAACTCCATCATACAAATTGCAAATATCAAGAATAAATAAATGAAATTTATAAAAAAACTATTTATTTCTTCTTGAATCCAAATTTAAAGGCTGGTTTTTGAATCTAATTATAATAATAATTAAAATTAGAATGAAAATAGAAATAGTATTGTCTAATATATATTATACACATAAATGAATATACCTCTGAAGTGTCTCCAGATGTTTTACCGATTCCAAATGTTAGTTTTGATTTTGATTTATTCGCTGTATTATTAGATAAATTTACAGTATCTGATGTATTTGATCCAGTATTAATATTATTTGGTTGATTTATTGTTGAAGATATTACTGTTGAAGACCAGCCACTGTATTTAAATGCTGGTGACGAATTCCATCCACTTGTGTTACTTGTAGTTGTCGCACGTACAAAATTCCAGCCTCCTTGTTGAGTATTATCGATATTTGTTGAATTTGACGATGAAGAGGATGAGCTTATATCCACCGAAGTCCAACCTCCACCTCCTCCCTCTGAATCTTTACTACTTGTAGTTGAGGCTACCAAACTATCACTTAAATTCGTTTTAGTTGTGCTATCGTTAATTGATGATTTACTTGATGAACTATTATTAAGAATATCGTTAGTAATAGATTGTTTGCTACCCGCTCTTTGAAGTGCAGCTTGTTGCATTCTTGCCAATTCTTTTTCTTCTCTTTTACGTTCTTTTTCACGTTTTCTATCCAATTTAGCTGTGGGACGATTACTTTCTTTCATTTCCTTGAATCTCTATATTTACACAATATTATTATTGTCAACATATGTTGCTCTCAAAGAAGAAAACTTTTGAATTCTTTTTTTTTACCTTGCGATGATTATGATCATATGAGCTCAAATGGGTTTCATACTCCGAGATTTTTGTATATTGTTTATCACATAACGCACAATAAAATGCCGCATTAATAGTTTCTAATTCTTTTTTAATCGATTCTTGTTTTTGAACTTTATTCTATAATAAAGTAAAAAGAATGATAAGTGAAAAAAAAAAATATATATTTTTTTTTAAATAAACATGAACTTGCTTGTCTTTGAACGCGTTCTTCTTCAGTCTCCTCTGCAATTTTTTCACTATCTAAAGCTTTACGTCTTGCAGTACTAGTAGAATGATAATAATTTTCTTCTTCGAGTTTACCTACACCTAAACTATCAGATTTAATATCTATTCGAATAGGTTCTTTTCTGCCTATTAATTAAATTAATGATCAATTAGACATAACAAATTGGTTTAATATTAAAAAAAGAAACAAAAAAAAAAAGCAAAAAAAAAAAAAGAAATAATAATAAACCTTGTTGTAAACTTCCAAGTCCCTGACCAACTTTCCAACCCATTTTCAATAATAATTTATATCCTATATTACTTTCAGGTAAATGTTCATCCATACTTGCAATCTCTGTACTTGATAAATCTAGATATGATTGAGGAACATGACCACGAGGAAGCGAAAAGGATATATCATCAAATAAATCGTTGTCGTCTTCTTCAATAGTTTCGGTTTGGTTTTCATTATCCTGTTTGATTTAAATGCACAAGATAAAAAAAAAAAGATATTTTGGTAGATGGGGAAAGTATAAAGAAAAAAGAGAGGCTAATGGTAATATTATGATAACTTTTTTCGTGAACAAATTGTAAACACTTGAAAAAAAAAACCATAAATTTTTTTTAACGAATTTTAAATAACTAATAACCTTGTTTTTGGAGTATTCAATAAAAAGTTATAAAGTACTGACCTTATTACTACATACTTCTTTAGGTTCTATTTTGTTTCCGGGTTCAAACATTGCAATAAAAAGTTTACGTTTTCAAAATTATTTCTCGGAAGGTACGAATTTAGATATAAAAACCAAAATTTCGGAAAATTAAATTTCTTATTTATGTAATGATAAGATTTCCGATTTAACGATTTACATCGGTGTTTTAAGGTTTTTCACAGTCGAAGTGGTCTATAACGAATTTCTGTATTCCGAATTTCATGGTATTGCGAATCACATGAGTGGTACCAAATT